CACGAATACCAATAGTCAGGTGCAAATAAAAATCATACACTAGCAAAAAATCCGAAACTAATACACAAGTCCATGCAAATAGGTAACATGTCCTACTGTCCACCCCTCGACCCCCGACCCCGAGTCATCAGGCCTCCCCCGCGACCCCTCCTAGGTAAGAGACGCAAATAGTGGGCATGTGAGGTCAACAAGTCCCTCAACTGCGGCTGAATGCTCAGGAATGCCTCTGCTGCGTCGTCACCAGTCAAACCGAACACGATCGGAACTAGGAGCTGAGCTATGTCGTTGGCGAACGGCTGGTCTGGCGGCACCGCAGCATCAACCCGTTCTGCAGGCGGAACTCTATCAGGGTTGCTAATGAACCGGTGCGTCCGCTCGATGTACCACTTCATGTACTCCTCGGCAACTGTTTCTGGCGGCCAGGCTTCAGGGTATTGCGACAGGTCAATGAAGTTGGCGTACTCGTTCTGCCACAAGCCGCCAGGAGCTTGGAAAGTGACTTTGTATCCTGCGCCAAACAAGCCGCGGTTATGTGGCAAGTTCGATTCAATTATCGGGAAAGGAATAGTCTGGACTCTTCCAAACTGCCGCAACGCTCGGTCGGGCATGTACGGCTCCACTATATCCATGAACTGTATCGTGCCGTAATACATGCTCCGATGATGCAAGTAATGTGCACCGGTACCATACGGGGTCCAACAAACCTAAGCATATTTAAACTAATTAGAAAAATTCGTAACTCTACTATAGACATAATTAGAAAAATTATTACTCACATCTCTTTCGTTCATGGCGTCGAGTATTTTCCGGTATTCCTGCAGCGTGGTTTTATTGCCTCCACCATGGGCCCACATTCTGCATCGAGGCTCAAACTCGGCATATGAACGGGAAAGAGGTGGTGGAAAGCAGGGGAAATGCTCAAAGATCCAGCACTGTAAACAAATCCAATGAATAAATAAATAAAATAGAAGTTTAAATAAATAAATATTTACTAATAAAGGTACACGTACCAGAAAGAGAATAACACATCCACAAAGACTGTTCATCCCAGCGCGGGTGGCAATACCCAATTGGCTGTACATGTTTGCTAAGCATACCGAAGCCCACGACATTATCGAGATCGTTAGTAAAATGGATCCACCACGGCTTCATGTTACACGCTGTTTTGTCTACAAACAAAACAGACCCAAGCAGAAACATCAAGTAGCCCTTCATCTTCTTCTCGTCTGTGGCGGAGGGAAGGGTCAACTGATCTCTCACCTTAACCCAATCAACTCCCTTGTTTCGAAACATGTCATTGGTGTCCATCAGACCGACACCCAATACAGATGCAAGACTCTGTGAGCACTCTTCTGTTAGAGTAGGTGACCAACAAGCCAACATGTGGCTGTGGTTTTTCGTATTTATTATTGTAATAAACGAACCTTTATTCGTATTAATGATAAAACACCTTGGCATTCTATATCTTTGTCCCTTTGTCACAAGCATAGATATAGTCCTTACAGTTATTACAAGTACCAGTAATTGATCGTTAGGATCGTGAGATATTTACTTAAGTATTATAACTGTTAAACGTGTTCCTAGTCGAAGGGTTACGCCACTAATGAGGATATCGGCCTTTCCCATTAAGACTAGCACTTAGTGTATGTGTACTGCATCTCATCAGTAAACGGTATTCTGATATCGGCATGCATAAGTGGGTGCTCGTAAGTTGACGAGTTCACTGAACTCCCTCACCCTAGAAATCTCTAAGTGGTTCCCAATAATCGAGTAGAGATATCTATGGTATAGTTGTACACCATTAGTTCTTATGACCTAGACATCACCGTGACTTCACTAGAGGACCAGCTGTATCGTGACCAGTCCCTGAGTTCCACCGAGGACCATCCCAAGGGCCAGTGTTCGTGCAGTCCGAAATCTAGTGGGAGGTCTGTGCATTGTAGTCGGGGATTCGATCGCTAGAATAGTCTTGGATGTCCTGTGTGTTCTGAAAGTTTGTAATCATTCTAAGTTTCTGGCCAGAGCTGACTAAGTGATGATTAGAGAATTCGATTCTCTAAGTCATGCACGTAAGGATACAACACTTAGAACGATCGCACCGTCATTGAACATATAAGAGGTCTCGATGAACCAATGCGGCAATGCCTCTAGTTCGATCGGGACATATGCATCGAAGGGAGCGTACTGTACGTTAACTATATCTGAAGGTTCTTGCAGGCACTTCATTTGTATCTAGGGAATCATGACGCGTAGTTGCTAGACGCCAATCTTGATTCGTTGGGTGATTAAGGTGAAACGAGCTTCATCTTAATCGTAACTCTAAGGGACGAGTTTTGACCACAAAAGGTTGTGGGCCCACGGCTAGCTTACACCTGAACCATCGAGGGTCACACTGCTCGTGCACATGAGATCTTTGAATAAACGGTCAGAGATAAAATAGTTTATCTTTGCATAATTGGAAGTCAATACGATTGAGTCCAACATTCGTAATTTGGAATTACGAATGAGAATAAGAAAAGGAAACGAATAGGCGAGCGTTGTAGTGAACTTTCTAAATCGGGAAGTTTCCAAATTTAGAAAGTGCACTAAACTAGGGTTTCCACTTTTGGAAAGTTGGAAAATGAGAACTGACACTCGTAATGACGAGGACTTTATAATGATTCCGAAAATGTAATCGTTGCAATTTTCCGGTCATTGGATTGAGAGAAACGAGCAAGTAAAAGTACTAGCGAACTTAAGCTGTTGGGCCCGGTCCAACTTAAGCCCGCTAGGGTTTTATGCAAGACACTATAAATACAAGATTTATAGGTCTTGCACAAAACAAGTGAAAACCCTAACCCTAGCAGCCGTTCTCCCTCTCTCTCTCGCCCTCTCCCCGCGGCCGAAACCGGCGCCGTCGCCGGAACTTCACCGGAATCGGCCGTTCGTCGGCCGATTGTTTCGATAGTTTCTTTCCTTCTCTTTTTCTTCCGTTTTTCTAACTATTACGTGTCTAGTGCCACGTGTTTAGTAGATCAAAGTATACGAGGTGAAATTCGAGAGGAGGAAGATCGAAGATCAAAGAATCGAGGAGCAGCGCACGAGTCGAAGCCGCACGCTACCCCACGCGCCGCCCCGGAAGTCCGCGCGTGAGATTCACGCGCCGCCGTGGCCGTCTCACCGTTGCTGCCGCTGCACCGCTGCTGCCCCGATTGTACGGATTGGTTTCCGTAGCAATCTCGACTTACTTAGTGCTCCTACCTTACGCTTCAAGAGGTAAACACACGAACTCGAAGTTCTTGTTTCGTTTACGTTTAAACACTATATATTCATGTTTGCTTTCGTATGATTTTATGTGATAATGTGTAATCGTTTTAAATCATTGCGAGCATGTTATTTGGTTTAAACGCGAGCATGTTAATTGATTTAAATTCGGTTAAATTAATTAGCATATATGTTGTTATTTAATTTCGCTGGAAGCGCAAAGGTACGCAATTAATTGATTAATATTGTTGGGCATGTGCTTATGTGTTTTAAACTCGTTTAATTCGCATAAAAATTTTTGTTTTCCGCTGCGTACGCGTGCCCGAAACCCAACATCTTCTACCGGGCGAATTTCAGACACTGGCGGTCCGTCCAGCCGCAACGCCAGGATGAAAGCGACATCGTGGAGCGTGATCGTCATCTCGCCCCATGGCATGTGGAAACTGTTCGTCTCCGGCTGCCACCTCTCCACGAAAGCTAGCATGAGGTTCTTGTTCATCCTCTTCAGAAACAGTCTCGTAAGTGGTAAAGACATGTTGCCTCCAGTCTCGCAATCATCGTGTTATCCTGCGGGCCGCGGTAGTCCTCGAGTGCTTTGGTCCTCGACTCGCACCGTGTAGTTTCACGGCGCTCCTGAAAAATATTGCATGTATTGTTAGCTAAACAAAATGAATAATATAAGAATTATGTAAAGCACGTGTTGACAGAAAACTTACATATCCTTCCCAAATGTACATCGCTATAAGCGACTTGAACCATCGCATAAACTCTAAATTTTGTGGCCCTCCCTCGCACGGACCCTCCAAGTACGCCGGACCAGGCAGCTGCGGAAAGGGTAAGGCACGACCACCTCTACGATCCTGATATACATCTGCTGGCTCATCATCTTCCTCCATCTCCTCGTCAGTATCCATATTATCGGGATTGTTGTTGTGGTCATCATCGTCGTCGGCATGTGGCAATGTACTACGAGCTAGCTGGAGATCGCGTGTAGGTCCACAGGGTCCGGCTCCAGCTGCAACAGCTTCTCGTTTCAGTCTCTCTTCTTCCCGCTGTAACGCTGTACTACGAGCTAACGCTGTCCGATTTTTTTCAAGAAATAAATTTATAAAAAAAATATATATATTTAAACGCTCGCGTGAATTTACACGAGCGCAGTGGATGCGCTCGTGTAAATTCACGCGAGCGTGGCCAAATTTTGATTTTTTTTCGTTTTTTTCGGATTCGTAATCTACATAACAAGAGGATTGTAAAAACGTAAAAATTACCTCCGATCTGTTAACGATTTGCACGAGCTTTGCGAAAGAAAATCGAAAGAGTAGAGAGAGTTTTTGAGTTTTTTACTTTTTGTTTTCTGAAGAATGGTAAAAAATGTGTCTGACTGTTTAATATGTGTCTGCACAAATCATTTCAGAATTTTTATACTACCAACTATTTTAATCGATTATATACAAAAAAAAAGAAAAAAAAAAAAAAAAAAAAAAAAAAGCGCCACTCCTTTTATAACTACTACATCAATTTTGGGCTTAGCCTTATTTTGCCCCAACCATACTAACAAAAACCATGTGGGCCCAAACGGTTCCGACCTATTTACAATTTTACCCCTGCAACTCGACCCCACCCCCCTATATATAGCGAACCTTCCTCCTCATTTCTCAAAAACCCCCAAAAGAATAAAACCGCTCCGCCAAACACACCCTTAAGAAGAAGAAGAAAAAAAAAACAGTGCCCTCTGCAATGGCGAAGGGAGGAAAGCTCACCAAAATTAAGTCGGTCCTGAAGAAAATGCAGTCGTTCAAGCTCGGCCGCAGCAGCAGCAGCTCCATCGCCGCCGCCAATTGCTCCTCCTCCGACGATGACTCCTTCGTCCCCGCCTCCGCCGCCGCCGCAAAGGACCTCCACCCGGTCTACGTCGGGAAATCGCGGCGGCGCTACCTCGTAACCTCCGACGTCATGGAAAATCAGCTGTTCCGCGAGCTCGTCGAGCGGCGCTCCGGCGACGGCGCCTCGATCACCGTCGGTTGCGAGGTGGTGCTGTTCGAGCACCTGCTCTGGATGCTGGAAAACGCCGATCCCCAGCCGGAGTCGATGGACGAGCTCGTCGAGTTCTACGCCTGCTGACGGCGACGGCGGCGCGCCGTTAGTTAGTAACTGTCACTGTCAGTAACTGGAAAAGTTAACGGAGTGGTGGTAGTGATTGCCTGCGGTCATCCCCAAGATATGGTGTATAGTACTAGTAGTGTATATTTTTATTAATTTTTAATTATTATTTTTTCCGTAATTTCAATAATGAGATGATGATTAGCGGTGTAGAATAAATATACTTTGAAGAAGGAAGAGAGGATTAATTAATTAACCCATTCTACACGGCTAAGCTTTAGTTAATTAAGGAGGAGCTTAATTAATGGGTTTTGTACTAATATTTTTCAGAGTTTGTAATTCATGTTTATTCATATTATTTCCCAAATTATTCAATTTTTAGTTGTATTAATTACTACTAAAAATATTTTCTCATTATTGCACACATTCTTAGTAATTTGATTTCTTAGTAAGTAACCGCCCCTAATTGTAACAAATATAGTAGATACACGACATATTAACACTTGATAAATTAATAATCTTGCATGAATAATGTTTCTTCTGATCCCGGCTCGTTAAAAACCAATTAAACTATTACTTCGATAACTTAATTATTCGCTTAATTAAATAGAATTTTGATAGTTTCGACTGTATTAATTTAACAATGTTTAACTGTACATGACAAAATTGGTAAAATGTCGTGGTTTTGCTTTGGTGATTAAGTATAGAGAATATTTAGCAAAAGACAATGAGAATGTTAATCGATGTATTAAACAAGTTCCTAACACCTAGTTAAGAAATGGTTTAATAATTAATTAAGACTCAAGTTTTGTGATTAGGTTCCCAAAACCTATATAGCTTGTCCAAAAAGAGATAAAATATTGCTTAATCCCTTTTTTATCTGAACTTTAGCCGACACTAATTGGAACTATCTATCTACTAACCTTGGTTATTAAATTAAAAAAACAGCACTACTTTTTTCTAATTGTCCTAACTACAAAAAGACAAGTCAAAACATAAACCTGCAATATTTTTTAATTAATTAATTACGAATATTAATATTCTCCACTGTCTTTATATTAGATTAATTAGCATCAAATTCAGTAGTTTAATGTACTAATGATTGGGTGGTTAGAGCAACCTTTAAATTAGAAGCAGTTCTGTTTGTTGTTATGATCAGTGATGAGTCCACCCTCAGGGCAACGATGAAATCAAACCCCCGTCAATAGTTAAAAGAAAAAAATCATTTATATTATATCTATATATTTATTTAGTTCATCCAAATTTTATTATTTTGCACACCCTCGGGCAACAGTGAAGTTGATTACGTGACAGCAAACATAGATTTGGCAAGGGACAACAAAATTTCGACATTAAATGCTTGAAGAAATAACTAGTCATATTAGGCAACTAATGCTTCATTTTTTCCTTTCGAGATTAGCACCTAAAAACATGTCGAAAAATAATTCTAATTCGGTACTTGCAAAAATACCGGAAATCGGAAATTTAAAAATGGGCAGAAAAAATTTATGTTAAGAGGAAAAAAAAATCAGATCGAAATGGGCAGAATTCGGATATTCTATTTTTAAAAGAAGTTGAGTTAAGCGAAAAATGAATGTATAGTCGGAATAAGACGACCGCATTTTTCGGCTTTGCGAAGGGCAGACAACCAATCATGCGAATTGACATTTTTTAGGAATGATATATGACATTTAAAGAAACTACATTTTCATCCTTCAAGTTTGCACGACTTCTATATTTAGTCCTTAACATTTCTAAAATTCAATACTTGTAGTACATTTGTCATTTTTTCGTTAGTACTAATGGAATCAAGAGTGTTCCCATCACTGCGTTAATTAAGAAACTAACGGTAAATTGACGGAAATGACCAACAATGTTAAATTATTGAAACATAAAGGACCAAATGTGAAATCGTTGCAAACTTAAGGGGTAAAAATTGTAATTGTAAAATAACAATTAATCGTTTTTGTTTAATTGGAACAGAAAATGAAGAAAAAATATTTTCAAAAAAAAAAGGAAAATGAAGAAAAAATTAAAACAAAAAAAAAACAAGGAAATTAAAATGGGTAGAAGCCAACAGGAAAAATAGTAAGCATGGTTCGGCCCACAGGACACCGCAAATTATAGGGCCCACTAGCTGCAGAATGTAGGTCTTTTCCAGTCAAAACCAGCATCAAATTAACAAATTCTTGAAAAAATACGTACGAATTAATATTATTATTATTATTATTATTATACAATAAATTCGATAATCATTTTTTGGGGTTGAATTTTGAAATTATGTATTACATATTCAAAGATTTTGCACTTTTTTAGTTGGCCCCTCTGTGGATCTCCAAAATTTTAATATTCGAAAAATACGGAAAATATTAATATTAAATAATATATATCTCTGACAAATTAAAATTTAGTGAAAGACTTCAAATGTAATTTGTCTGAACTTGAGGGATCATATTAAAAATATTAATATTAAATAATACAATTCACTAACAGCCTAAGTATTAGTCAACATGCATTTATAAAATCAACGAATCACCCTATCAAAACTGAGATTGAATTTATTACCTCCCAAAAGGTAACGGAGGCAAGCAAAGGTTTCCTCCTACCGGACAGACGGAGATTAGCGCTCGAGTGCAAAGGTGGACGGGAGTTTGACTGCAAATAAATAACTAATCCCAACATAGAGTTAAGTTCAAAACTTACATGCAACATATGTTAAATTTCATTCTTTAAATTTGAAAATTAAGATTAATTACCAAATAAAAAAGGAAGGTAAGAATATGTTGAGGAGTGAGAAAAATCCAAATAGGAGAGAAGCAATAAACATGACATGTGATGGGAATCCCACTAGCTAGTTTTGTGTATTTTATTTTTATTTTTTTTCCATTCTCTAATTAATTAAATATTTCAAAAGGACAAAACATTTATTCATCAAGGTAAACTAATTAATGTATGTCCATCCAAAAATGTAGTCCTCTCTCAACCAAATTCACCATCATTTTATAATGTATGAGAGGTTGGTTGAGGAAATGCTCTTCGCTATATAGTCTATATTTAATTAATAGCCCTATATATTAATTAATGTATGTATAATAAGAACTAGCGTAGCCAGAATTTTAAATATGCGGGAGCCGAATGCATTCATAAAATTCTAGATAGGATCGTTAATGTATGCTATTATACACGGATTTTTTTATAATTCTACACGAAATAAATGTTGGTGGCCATGGCCCTCTGTTCCTATGTTGGCTCCGCCACTGATAATAGGAGAAATAGATTAAGTACAGTAGAAATACGATCTGTTAATGTCACACCTCGTAAAATATACACGAAATAGCTAGTTATCACATTAGAATGCACATTCAATATT